AGGGCTGAAAACTTCCCATTACTTGTACGGCATCAACATAGACGTTCCCCCTGCAAACACACCGCAGGAAGCAGAGAAAAACCACTTCTGAGGTGCAGGAGTAGTTAAGATTTGGTCTCATGCCAGGATGCCACTACGATACACATAGCTGCCCTCCAAGGCATTAGAGACCCCACCAGCTCACTTCAATCAGCTACAGGATTTCAACAGCGTGAGTAGATTTTGCCACCTTAAGCTGAATTTCAGCCAGCAACGAAACTGCATCCTGTCACCAACTTATAACATCTTGCCCTTTTGGGTTTTTTTGGTTGGCTCTCCTCACACAAGCCATCACAGCCAGAGTCCAACTCCAGGCAGAGGCTCAAGACACAGATTTCCCTTCCACGCCTACTGCAGTTAACAGGTGCTCTCTTTTCACTCCAGCTAGCAAAGCTCATCCAGAAAAATCACAGCTCAGCGGGGGAAAACTCTTCTCTTGCACGCCTGGGAACGAGATTCAATTGCATTTTGTCACAGTTTAAGTTGTACAATGCAGCTGGCTTATCTATATACCCATTTTGTGTTGAGGGATGGAGAAAAAGAAAAGGGAAATCCTTCTAATGTCATCACAACAAACCAAACACACAGGATTTAAGAAGCCGAAATTAGGTATCAGTAGAAACATATGCCACTGCTGCCCCACTGATCCTGTCTTACACACTGTACCAAATTTGTCTGGACAAAATGCTGCATTGCATCACCTCACCAGACAGGAAGATTCTAAAAATTAGGATTTTGCAGGATGAACTTGCACAGAACATGTGTGCAAAACTGCCCTCTGCTGTTTAGATTAAGACCTGCTCAAATAAATGATAGTCTGACCAAATCAGTTTTTAGTTGTCAGGGTCCAAGTTGTGAAGAGGCAGAACTATCTGACTTCAGCTGTTTTCTGCTTTCATGTACAGTAGAAATTTCATACATGAAAGCCACTCATAACTGTCTTGCAGCATGGACTACCCGGACAGATTTGCAGGCTGTAGCAAGATTGTGCTAACTGCAACAACACTCCATTCAGCAGCTATCACGTAGTGGGTGAGCACCAACAGACATCCTCTCACCCCAAAGATAAGTCAAGAACATCCTCAGGGTGTAACGGAAATAATGGTAATCCTGAGTGTGCGCTGCAGGAGGACATGCATCTGTCAACCCATTAAATCAAGGCCTGACCTTTACAAAATGGGAACTGGAACTGTGTGTCTGGAGTCAAAAGCTTATAGCACAGAGGCCTTTAAGAGCTCATGATTATTAGGTTACAGCAGTGATCGGAAAACAGGGCAGTGACCTTATCAAAAGATGTCCAGTAAATATTCTGCAAAACTAGCACCTGTAAGCCCCTACTGCAGGGAAAGAAATGAGAACCTGGATTTTCCTTTCAAGAATGTATGGAAACCACTGTACTTTGAAAAAGCTGCCCATTATCTAGTGCCAGTATGCTGGACAGTTTGCTACAGAAACATCACGGAAGGGCCAGCTGTTTTCTATGGCTTCACTCACACATTCATACACGGGACGTGGCAAATTCTGCCCTCCAAGAACAGCATCAGATGTCCACATCTTCTTCTCTGGGAAGCTCTGTTTTGGTACAAATGCAGAAAACAAGTACTGTTACCTGCACCAGAACCTCAGTTTCTGGAGTGCCTCTGATGAAAGCTAACCCAGTCCTTGTGAATTAAGCGCAAGTTTCAGCTCTTTGCAACAGGCTTTTGGTCAGATTTGACTGCTGTGCAGACAGGCTTTTTTTGGTCACTGCATAAAGACCATAAGCTGTACTGGTCAGTGTAAATACACAAATTAAAAACCAAACCAATACTTGGGTACAACAGAAGCCTTGAAGAAATTTTTTTTTTTCACATCAGCCCTTTTCATATCCGTATGTTTAAAAACGCAAAAGCATGGGTGTACAGTACAACATGCCTTTGAAACACTCACTAAAAGCACTTAGTGACCACTTCAAAGATTCCCTTGAAGTTTAACTCATGTTAATTTTAACACAACGGTCATGTAGGGCCACTGTTCAGCCTAAGGGACTTTAAACACACCATCAACAGATGTACAAATGAAACTTTAGAAAGATTCTTCTGGGTGCATAAATAGCTGGAGCTTTACTTTGATGATGGCTGGCTGGCCTCTTATACAGCAGGGCTGGGACTTCTTCGTTTTTCAAGTTAAGGGCAACAATAATATTCTGTCATCCCCCTGGGTAAGGAAATTAGTGCCAGATGATTCAGTGTGTGCCTGATCACTCTGGTTTTGGATTCGATTCCATTATCTAGAAAACTTAATGGTGAAACATCAAAGGTAGTCCTGCATGATCACAAAACTAGCTGGGGTTTTTTCTATAAAAGCTGCCTGAGAAGCTCATAACTGATGATAGGAGACTCCCCAACATAAAACTAACAGACCTCTGATTTCCTTTATGAGAAATCCTCTTAGGGCTGAAAAGAAGCGCCTTGTTCTTGGAGCACCACAGAAGGGAAGATGACTCTTTCTGGGAGAAAGATTAGTAGTTTTACCTGCAGTAAAGTAAGATTACAGATCTTATTCACGAGCAGCTGTGAGCTCAGCAGCAGCAAATCCACAACTGGAATGGCTCACTTCAACCTTTTTTTTAATTTGCACAGGTGAAAATAAGTAAGTACTATGCACAGCTAATACAATGGCATTACTACTACTGATGCAATAACATCCATGATTACCACTGCACTTCCCATAACCTGCACTTTGCTTATGTCTGAAACCAGTTATAAATTACAGCCTCCTACATCTGTGGGCTGTGCATGCTAGCACGTTGTTGGAGCAACAGCAAATTCCCATTCTAGACAGTATCTTCAAGTCTTCACAGTTTGTAAGGTATTAGCTTCATCAGGAGATTTTGGAAAAAAAAATCTTAAGCCTTGTTAAAAGGATTCATCATTCCCACCCTATTAGCCAAGGCACTCAAAACATGTATCAGAGCTTGCTCTAGCATACTAACCAGGTACTTCTGGGTTATCAAATATAAGAACGAATTTGTACTTCAGGCTTCATTTAAACCTATGCTATCTAAAATTTTGTTTGCATCTAACTTTGCAGGATCAAGAAAACTAAAAAGGGTTAGAGTAGTATGTGTGTCTATGATGTTTATTAACACCATTTATGTCTACCATTTGTAGACATAATCAGACTATCACCTAGTCTTCCATCAAAATCAGAGAAATTGAATTCCAGGTTTCCTAAAACATACTTAGTTCAGGGGAGCTTTGCTGTAAGCTGAATTGTGAATTCAAATTGTCGTCATTACACCAAAGAGCGTAGAAGATTTTTGAAGTCTGAAGGAAGGGTGCCACCTTTGTCTTATGTTTGGGTTTGTTTTTCAAGGCAGGGTGGAAGAGTTTGATTTACCTTAAGACGACGTTAAAAGCTGAACCAAAAAGATATTACACTGAAGTGACCACTACCAGCAAGCACAGCAGGTAAACATGCTAACAGTTCTGTCAGCATAACCTATGAATTCTTACTTTTTACTTTTAAGGGTTAGAAAGGAAAACAAAAACTCCTCCAAAAAGACTCACTGTACTCATTAAAAATAGAATCTTCTGCAATTTCACAGTATTTTTATTAAGTATTCTAGGTGCAGAATAATTTCATCCCTCTAAAATAAATTAAAAGGAAAAGAGCAAACCAGTCACAGTCACCTGAAGATTATGGCTACTAAGTTTTACTTTTACCTTATGCTACCTGAACAATTCAAGCACAACCAAAAGACTAAACTACAGCCAGCTGTTCAAGAAATTTTTGTTCATACCAGCCATTAACTTCAGTATTTGTCGCATTACAGAAAGATTCAATAGCACCTCAAATCTTGGGAAATTTTGTTTTCAAGGAGTTGAGGGGAAAATATCTCTTCTATGGCAAACCACCTAAGCAGACTGACTCAGTAAGAACCATTTCTACTCCCAAACTCAGGTATCTGACTGCTAGGTGACAATGAACTATCCACTTCACCTCTCAAAAATTCTGTGTGAGGCAATTTCTGAAACGTTGAGACCTATGGTTTGGAAGAATCCACCATTATAGAAACTTACACCAGGCTGAAATGAGACAGATGGGAATATTGGCTAAAGTGCTCTCAGAATATCTCACTTCTACTTGGAACTATGCCACCTAGTACCTTACTATTAACGTATCGGCATCATTAGCACAAACTATCAGCTGGTCTGAAAGACAGACACCTCGAAGCATTCTCCTCCTTTCTTCTCCTTAAGTTAAAACAAGTCACCATGCCAAAAATATAAAGCTACATTTTTAATTGTTTCTTCTGCCATCTGAGTGGTGATAGCACAAAACCAGAGAACAGTAGAAACCAATCTGTTTTGACATTTAGAACATCCTATCTATGGAAAACTTGCTTTCAGAAGCTTGCTTCTGTTACTCACTTGAGTCTGTATATTATTTTTCCATCGGCAAAGGAAGTTTACAGTATCACACCATACTGAAATTTTACATCATCTTTCTAATTCCATTAGCTTTAGCTAGTTTAGCCCTGGGATATCATTGTCTCACCTTACCAGTGCAATTTTTTTTTTTTTAAGGCAAATGCCAAAGACTGCTAACAACCATTTTCTACGGTCTTGAAGACTAGAGACTGAAATGCTAACTGCCTATCTTGCAAAAAGGTTTCAAGCTTTCCAAAAAAAGCTCTTACAATCTGCCCCAGGTTCTATTCCAAACAGCTTTATTTCAGACACCTGCATTAACAGAGCTCTCATGTTTGCCAGATACAGTTTTGACTTGCATCACTTTAGATGTTATTGCTCCTGACAGAAATGGATTTGTCATTCTTTCTGCAGCGTCATTTATTACCATTCTAATTTGCATCTCTTTCTATGGTGATCAGTTACTGTTTAAGTGATCACATGTCTATTTTCTTAGGAAATGACACAAGGTTTTAAACTTAATTAAAAGCATTGGAAGACCAGCCATAACATTAAAAATAAATTTTAATGTTAAGTCATTTTTAGATAATTTGCTCTGACACCCAAATGTTCTTAAATTTAAAGTAGTACTAGAGGGACACACAAGTGCAGATAAATCTTTATTGCCGTAACTTTGTTTTTTCAAAAATGAGCATTGGGTTTTTAATAGGTCGTAGTTTTATGTCTTTATATGTACAACATTACAACTGCATATTTTAATAATAATGAAGTTAGTGATACTTTGATAACTCAACACAGTGTATTTATAAAATGAATTCTTATCAAAATACACTTTTCACTGGGATAATAAATAAAATCCTGCGAAACCCACCTACACAAAGTTAAAATTAACTCTGGTAGAACCCGATGTGGTACACAGTCCATTAACTACTATGTTTGCCCCTTTATCCCCCTACTGATGCTCATCTTCTGGGGTAAGAAAACATTTTTTCCCCCTGTTGTGGTGTGACCTCATTCAACATCATCTTCAGCCAAGCACTGTGCACTTACAATTCTCTGTAAGAAGGAGAAAAACTCATTCACAATTACATAAAATTGACAGTAGGCAACTGATTATCAAGCAACGTAATTTTACACTGAACATTAAGCAGTGTAATTACTGAGCAAACTGGTTAATATTAAAAATGGTAATCTATTTGACATAAGTTTTTGAAGTCAGTTCCACAGAAATTATGTACTGTGCAATGCCTAACAAAGCCAAAGTCAGATAAATAATACCCTATCACCCTCAAGTGATGACCCCTGTGTGATTCTTGGCACTGTTCTCTAAGGAAACATTTTTGCTCCATTGTTTCCCCAGACCTTTACATCTTGTGTACCTGACACTTCTCAGTGTTTTTACCAACTATATGGACCTTCAACCGAAATGTAACCAGGCCTGAGCTGTAAAGAGAGCTGACTGATGCACAGCACCGAGTCTCTGCTTTATGTGAGGTAACACCGTTAGGGAGTACCCTTGCATTTCCAAGAACGTAAAACATATTATTTATTTTACAATAGACTCACCTGCTAGCATATTACCAACGTTACCTGCACAGTCCTTAGGCTAAAAAGGGAGGGCATTTTATACACAGAGCTACACACACTTTTATCATCAGGGAAACCCCCAAGCTTCCAAAACTGTCATGTGTTCTGGTGCTAGTTAACATTTTGTGTTTATAGCTAGCCCAGAAGCAACAGGCTAGCAAAAGCAACCGATTAATTCTAATGGACTTTTATAATACTTACAGACACTTGTAAATATATAACTAAAAAAAAGAAACCAAACTCAAGACCCAGTGCAAGAAAGTTGCCGCTTTTCTGACCCCCCACCTTGTATTTGGGAAACAGTGGATCAACTTATAGTATCAGAGCTGCGGTCAGACGTCTCTACTTTAGAAGAGCTTAGCGCACCCTGTGCATGAGAGAAGTTTTGTTTTGGTTTTTTTTTTTTACCCTGTTTGCTATTAATGCTACATGACATTTTTCATATACACTTTTTAATGTTTCAGGTGAAAAAAAGCTTCTTTTAATCTAACTGAACATATACAAAAAACATACTACAAAAACCAATACTCGAGACTGATGTAGTGGGTAAAAGAAGTAGTTCAATTATTTTCAAACCAAAACAACAGGGAACATTTCACATACCTGGCTTATTGTAGGGAGCTTAGTTAGAAGCATTTGAAACACCGGCGGTGGAAGAGTCTGCTGTAGAACTTGTAGTAGCTGCTGCGGCTGTCCACACACAGCAATGGCATTGGTTAAGTGATCAACACCTTTCTCATATTCACCTGTATGACAAATCATAATGCTTTGCGACCAACCTTCTTCCACACTGTAAAGTATTTACATAAAAGATCCATCAACAGTAGATTAAATTACTGAGAATCAATCCACACTTTTCTTCCCTCCTCCCTTGCTGGATCTTCTGAACAGAGAAGGTTAGAAACAAGTAAACAGATTTTCCTAGGTGAATTTGACTCCCCAAAAGATCTTAGCATATAAAAATCATCCTCTAGCAAAGGTAAAGAAAAATTATTTTACAACTTACCCTTCAAAAAAAAAATTATGTTATTACCTTGTGCTAGTAGTTCCTCGCCAAGCTGAATCTCCTCAAGGAAAAACTTCTGAACTGCTTCAGCATCTTTCAGATCAGGCAACTATAACACACACAGTAAAAGTGAAGTTGGCCCTTAAACATCAGTTAATGAACAAGTTAGCAGAAAACATTCTCAACTGAAATTAAACACACACATAACCATACTGTTACACTGAAACTGGGGTGGGGGGGGGGGGGAATTAAAGTGTCACCACTAAGTTAAACGTACACAGAATGTTTCTGAAAATCACTCAGGTCTCTCATCATTGCATCACAAATCTGTAGAGAGAGTGTGCCTGAAATACCTCTACTCAGTTTATTAAGTACGCAATTTTGTAGCAAATAAATTCTGAGGTGTGTTATGTTTATCACAACTATATTTCTTACAATTTCTTACTATCTTTTCCTCCAGGATTCATTGGCAATAAGGAAAGAGAAATCAAATACTTATGGCAAAAAACTATCAAGTTCAGTTATAGTTGTGTCCCAGCAATGATTTTTAGTCTGAAAAGTCCTTGCACATACTACAAAGAGGAGAACACCATCAAATCACGCAGTACATGTTGTACTTTGTAGTACAAGGTCTCCCTCTGATACAAAAAAGGATCAACCATTTCATACGGTTATTTGTCAGCATTAAAAAAAACGTAAAGACTGCATATTTGCAGAATTGTTTGTAATGCTGGAATCAAAACAAATCCTTAAACAAATCTTACAAATAATACAAATGAAACATCTTTCAAAATAGCACTGCATTATTGAACACAGTATTACCTTGGAAAGCCCTGCTCTCTCTTTGGCAAGCTTCTGTTTCTTCCTTCCTGTAAGAATAAAAACATCTTACATTTTTAATTTGTGATTAAAAAAGCCTTCAGACTATAGTTCAAAACTGTGAACAAATCAAAGTTATTTTCAAAATAAGAAACTGGTAATATATTCCAAATATTGAAGGCTGAACACAAGACTGCAACCCACTCTCTGCAACAGAATATCATTTAGAGGTCTAATGAGGGCTGGCAGTAGCACACCAACTCAAAATGGCAATTCTTCCCCTGCTGGCTATGGTAAACATCAACTGTGCAGGCCCTGCAGCAGAGCATACCTCATGCACTAGAGGCATGAAGAAGGAAAGAGAATGAGAGTAATACAGGATTTCTCTACATGATTTCTAACAATGATAAGCCACAGAAGAACTGCCTACAAGTCCAGACTATCTAATTTTGAACTATACAGTGCACCAGCAACGGGAACTTCAGCAGGTCACAGTACGAAAGTGTACTTTCCCATCTGCTTTATAGCGAAGACTTGGGAACTAGCTATGTAGGTGGCAGTATCTCGTCACCCCACAGCAAGAGCAATACTAAAGCATACATTTCTGAAATCTGAGGAAAGCAAACATTTACAGGTGGAACAAGCATTTACAGATTTAATTGCCCAACCTAAAGGCATAAAGTTGGTCTGCAACATAAAGTTGTACCACTCCAGCAAAATTAGTGTAATTAAAATGATATATAGCTTACTTTTAATGCAATTAGGCAGGTATAAAGATATTTTATAGTGGCAGCTACTCATACAAGAAATAATAATTACAGTAATACTGGTGATTTCCTTCAAATAATCATTTTTGTAAGTCATCAGTTCATCAACTGAAATAGTTATACCGATATAACTTTTAAATACAGCCTATGGTTAAACAACTGTACTCTTACTATTTGTCCTCAGTGTCTGCTTGGTGAACATTTATGTTGACAAAGAACAACTGTCACACAGCCCTGATTTTTCTTTTGAGACGATTTTACAAGCTAGAAATACTTCCAAATATGACTAGCAGTTTTAATGGAAATGAGTTAAAAATTTGCGATTGTCTATATGACGAAGACATTCAGGAATACTATCTCCTAGTAGTGATAATGTAACATGTGAAATTTATGGACAAGATCAAGTGTTCTTTATACGAAAGGAGTTCACATTCTAACTACACGGATCACCCTTTTACCTTCTACGATACCTTAACAACCCTTAGCACCTGGATTTCTACTACTTACTGACCTGTGTACGTTACTTTACATCATCATATATAGAAAAATGTGTCATATAGATCAGTAGCACACTATAATTTTATCATTATGGTTGTTTTCAATATTAAAGAAGAATTTATCTCTTGAAAGTTGGTGACTTCAATTAGCTCACCCCAAGTTTTCTGAAGCATTAATTTGCACAAAACTTTAAACTGCACTACTATGCAAACCGGTTTCACTATGAAAACAAGCCACATTGCAACTCTAGCACATTGAGTGAAAACATCAACGAAAAGTACAAAGAGTGACAGCTTAACATTTGCACATCATTTTCAGGAGAAAATTGTGTTTTCTTGGCGTGACTATGACATCTTCTAAAAGATTACAACAGGTATCAGTCACCAGGTTAAACATTCAGAGATAAAGAAAACAAGACGTGCTGGTAACTGTAACTATTTAATAAAAGCTGTTGACCACTGATCACATGCATATGAAATCATGTACTTTAACCTGAAAATAGTAAAAGAATGTGAAGAATCACCAAGATTTTAAAACTGAACACTGATGTACCGAATCTTTCAAGTCTGATTACTATGCAATTTTTCTTCCTCTTCTCAATACATTTTTACAGATCTCTTCATAAGTCCACTAGCTAAAACAATTACAAAAACCAAATAGCTCTAGAGGATAGTTAGGAATTCTTCCCATACTGGTTGGTAACACTAGTTTTAAAATATCTTTGCAACAACAGCCAGAAGTTATATTTGTAATATGACAACCAAAAAGCAACGGCTTTGGGCAAAAAAAAACCCAACACCTAAAAAAACCCGAAAATTTTGTTGTTTTCCTTCAGGGACCTCCAACAAAATGAAAAACTTCCCTCTTTTGTAAAGACATTATCACATTTAAAAAAGGGGAAGGGCAATCTTTCATAGAAGGAATCTTAGTTAATACAGAAATGCATGTGCATCCTTCCAAAATAGAAAGCTCAGCTGCAGCTCTCAAACTGCACGTGACTTGCAGGTTCTTCAGGCACAGCTCTTGTACCTGGGGAATAAGTTTCAAATGCAAACCAACGGATAACCTGACGCGCTGGCATGGGTTGCAAAAATCCCTGAGTTGCCCCAGCAGCTTCAAACCCAGTCCCACAAAGGAGCAGAACGACCAAAGAGCCGCTTGCCTCTTCAGCTCCACCCATGAAGTCTGCCCACTGCTCTCCTCTCACTCAGCTGTCCACGCAGAAGGTGCTCTGAGGCAAAGTTTAGCATGGTCAGAAATTCTGGCTGTCTCTGAACGAGATCAATGTCTGTACTTGCATACGGAACAGTTCTGTTTTATACATTCAAGAACACAAATAGTAAACACATCCAAAATCTTATCATCTTAAAGTATAGCTAAGGAAACTAAGCAGCTCCAGATAGCTATGCTACCTTTGGATCCCAAGATTAAATATGGACATGCCCCCGAACTAGCAATACAAAAACCTAAAATAACACAAAATCTGCTAAATAAATAAGATTAAGACATCTGGAAAACCAAAGTCCAGCAGTTCTTCAAGCCTGCCAGGAAATCACAATTTTTCTTCCAGAAACCTGAATCTGGCCACCTCATTTTTACGATGGGCCTTTGTAACGTAAACTTTGGTCCTAACACAGCCCAAAGAAATGTACAATATAACTGGGATGGCAAAATAATATTGGTTCTCCACTGGTCAGCGTGTGCTTGATGAAATACAATAGGCAATCCACTGACATGTAGGATCTCCTGTCCTTCCCAAATTTTGGTGACATTGCATCACAGAGGCTGAAAAACAATCTTATCCTAAAAATGTTACTGGAAGAGATCTGCTGTAAAGGTGACTTCTACAAGTTTTTCATCAAATACCCCTACTATTGCCCAAGAAACTGTATCTTCATCTAAAGAACTGCAACTGGCTGCTGCATTGGACCTTTTTCGGTCAAATATTTTACAGCCTTACTATGCAACAGTAAAAATGCTGTAATAATCAGATCACTGGCACCACTACAGAAGCATCCATACTAAAGAATCAGTTACAGTACTAAAAAATAAAAGTAAAAACAAATTCCTTAATATTATCTTAAGCCTTGCAACTAAAAGCAGCCCAGTGTATCACATCCAAGGATCATAAGTCATAGAGTGATGTCCTCCAAATGACAACAGCCATCCCCTATCAAACCACAATGGTTTCCCACTTTAAAGAAAATGTTAATTCTTAATTAGAGCAAGTCTAAGGTTTATTCAGAACATTACTGGGTAGAAGCTCAGATAATTAAAACAGTGGGATGCAAAAAATCACTCCAGTACTTCTGCAAAAATCTTATGTAATCCAGTATTTTCTCTACTACATATTTAACATAATAAAAAGAACACGGCTGAATATATTGTCAACAATCGAGTTTGCTTGTACAAGACAAGCACATACCAGTTTACTATACTAAAAATTCCCAATGAGTGAATTGCACTGCAGGGCAAAAAGTACTTGGAAGACACACAAAAAGTACGCACCTAAGATCCTACATACATGAGCAAGGGCCTGAATATGAAGTATTTGAAAGACATGATTTGCCATGGAAGAGCTTACAGAAAGCAGAATAAATACACTGTTAAGCGTGAACACTGGTCACTCAACAAATTCAATCCATTAAGACAGAACCAAAGTGTTTAAGTTACTTTTAAACATCATCAGGTAAATATTCATTTTTAACCCATCTAGTTATCGACTCTTCCATCCATGAAACTGCTGATCACGTTATGTTTACTTGCTGGGAAAGTTTACCTTAGTGGTAATTAATAGTCTTCAGATTAGTTATCAAAGGAATACTATACATATTCCCATGATAAAAACAACCCAGCACAACAAATATCAGCTTATTTCTCATCATTCATTTGAGTACCTTGGATGAATTTGAGTACCTTGAGTACTCACGCTTACAGTTACATTTAAAACCTTCACTAATTATTAAGATATTTAAATAAATGTTGAAGATGTGAAATAATGAAGAGCCACGGGAGAAAAGCTCTACATTTTGGATTAATCAACCGTTTTTTCTGGCATTCATTCTTATCCTGGAAGCTAATAACAGAGCTGCCAGGAGGGTTAAGAATGCAGTAGATAAAATACCTGAGGGCTGCTATCAACTCTCGCCTTACCACGGCAACAACTTCACTGTAAGAGATCGCGTTGCTTTATCTGATGGTCTTCCAAAATCAGAAAAATAAATGTCGCCACACAAATGCAGTGGCGATAACAGTATGACTGAGCGTGTAGGATAACAAGATTTTAGAAAAAAGAAGGAGGCGAGTTATTTCCAAGGCAAGCATCTGATGCGGAAACACGAGTTACCCAGTAACCACACAAATGGCAGACAACGCGCTCCCCCGGTTTCGGTAAAGGGACGACGGGAGGCCACAAAACGCAGGGGCTCGGAGCC